GCCGGAGAAATTCATGGGAGCGAGCCTCTCCGGTTTGATCACGCAGTCGTTTCCCGATTTCTTTGATAATAGCGGTAGCTGACGGTCCCCATGGTCCCATTGTTTCGAAGGCAATGGGTGCGAAAATGTAATGCCCGCTCAAGTAGAAGCACAAACTGGATTTTCTTTCTTCCGCTTGCACCGCGGCCGATCCGGCAGTCGACGATGTGGACCTACCTAATATGGGAAGCAGCAACCGTATCGACACAGGTGACATCCCACGCCAAGCACATTCCCCTCTGCCAGGCAAACGTTGTGCAGCCGTCTGGGCGTCGTTCGCTCGTGTGTGAGGTGCCGCGCGGTTCCAGCTTTTGCAGGTAAGCCGGCTGAAACGAGGGCGCGGCAAACAATTATTTTGTATTATATCCAAGAACCACTGTCGAAAATCCTCGTCCCGGACGTGATTTGCGCTCTGGATCTGTTTCCCCAATAGAAGGTCATACGCGTACGCAAAAGAGTATAGCAAGCATTTGTTACTGCCGGGAGACTGGGAGTACATAGGGACGCATAGCGGGTGTTTCTCATTCGAATTTGTCGCCTATCTTAATAATAATTATTACTAGTGCCATTGTGCGAGCTAGTTAGTCTCTGTTCGGGGCACATACGGTATGTTTTCCGGTAACCATAACGGTAGGCTACCGTCATGGTTTTCATCACCGTAAGAAGTTTGTGTGTTCGCTAAGCACAACGATAACGGTCGATACAGAGTTCGGCTCGGGCTCGGTCTCACTAAATTAACAATTGTTAAGTGAATTTGCAAGAGCATGACCAGCCGCTTGTGGCGAGGCAGTTTGATTGAACTGACGACTTCCGGTGTGTTAGTCCCTCACAAAATAAATTGTTTTTAAATGCTATTTTTCTTTTTTTAGTTTGCTGAAATATTTTAGTACATAGAGCGATGTTCAAATGGTTATTTCGTTTGAGAAAACGGTAATCCACTAATGCCATGGCTCTCAAGATTCTACCGGAGATGCCCAACGACACCAACGCTATGTGTCGTTATCCTAGCGGGCGTAACGATACGGTACAGGCAGAAAAACGGTAAATTTGGGGTGAGTCATATCGTTATCGTTACCGGAAAACCTACCGTGTGTGCCTCGAACAGAGATTATACATATATTATTACAGAATCGCAATAATATTATTGCAGAATCGCAATAATATTATTACAGAATCGCAATGGTCAGCGCAATGCGCGAGATGCCGGTTCGATATTATGATAATTACTTATGATACTTACTTTCATGTACGAAGGTGACTTTTACAGCATTTACAGTTGTCATGACTTGACAAATATGATAAACTACAAAGTATTAAGGAAAATCATATTTTTTTATTTTTAATTTCGTTCCACCCGAAAACTCTCGCGCGTAGCCAAAACTCATAGCGCGAGAAACTCTCGCATGTAGCCAAAACTCATAGCGCGAGATGCTCTCGCGCGTAGCCATTTCGTTATTTAATATGTAAATAATAATATAATAAATTAATATTATTTAATATAATAAATTAATATAATAAGATACAAATTATAATAATGCTGATGCTGTTATTCTTCAACGGGCATCGCTGCTCTCCCGAATGCTCCCAGGTAGAGAGATGCATGCTCCCGGGTTTGTTAATTACCTAAGTAGCCTTGTTTGTTGCAATTCTTTCGGGTATCCTCACACTGGTTACTTTTGTAATAAGTACTCCGTGTGATTTTCTGTAAAACTCGTAGTTTTATGGTCTTTTTTATATGATAAAGATAATTTTTATGTAATGTTTACGTAATGTACGTAGTCTACGTGGTATCTTTAATATTAATTTTTATGTAATGTTTACGTAATGTACGTAGTCTACGTGGTATCTTTAATATTTATATTTTTTATTACGTGGTATCTTTAATATTAATATTATTATATATAATATAATATTAAATAGCTGTAATCGAAAGGCACTTTGAATGTGTTCTGTACGATACAGAGCCGGAAGTTCTGTAACATTTCAATCACACCCCCTACCGCTGATTGGGGGGCCGAGTCAAAGTGTTCTGTATCTAAAAAGGAAGTCTCCTGGCTCCGTTACGATACAGAACTCGCATTTCTGACCACAAGTCAAAACAATAATAATTTGTAAAAATAATTCGTTGCGAATTTTTGATGTGTCAACTGTACGTAGAAAATTGAATTTTGAGTTTACCTTGGAGTTTTGAATTAATACTTTTTGAGATACGCTATTAGATTAGTGTAGAATGAGCACGCTTCCAATTATCAGTGCAAAAGCAGTAACGGTTATCAGCAATAATGCGACAGAAAGTGATGGCGGTCAAAACAAATCGTTTACTGGATAAAAAGGCAGTGAATTCCAGAATCTGTTCTGCTTCGCTCTCTGACGATTCACTGGAACTTTCAGATGAGTCGTCGCTACTGCTGCTGCTGCTCGAAGACTCATCGAGCGCTTTTCCAACGATCTGTAGCTCACAAAGGGTTTGCAAGTCGCGCAGGAGATTTTTACGAGAACTCATAGAGTCATACTAAAAAACTTTTGTAAAATCTTACAATTGGGGAATGGAAACAGTACGTGTCAAAAAAGAAGTGTCAAAAAGCAAAACAGAGTGTGACTATCTGAAATCACCGACGCATGGTGAAATATATACTTAAAATTAATTCGAATTAACTTATTAACGGGCACACATTTTGAGGTGGTCTCGCTGCTCTGTAACGCTCTGTAAGATTCAGTGGTGCACGATTGGTAAATTCATTTTTACAGAACTTCCGGCTCTGTATCGTACAGAACGCATTTAAAGTACCTTTCGAGTACAGCTAATAGGCGCTTCATTTTGTATGGACGATGAAGATGCTGTAATTCTCGTACTGATCTTGAAGTCTTTCAGTGTTAGGTCGCGTATGACTTAAGCTTTATCACTTTACCGCTTGGTGTCGAAATGAGCAAACGTCCGTGGATGCTGGTGTTTAGTACGGCCACTGTTCCGCTGTTGGCCAACAGGAATTTCCCGGGATACATCGGCACCGCCGTTCAGTTACCAAGTTGGTCTGCGGACAGAATGCTACAAACGGGATCCCTTAGTATTCAATAATATGCAACGGACAGTTCTGGGTCCGCAAGACATAATGAGATAATTGACACTTACTGTGGTTCGCTGGCAGTCGAGGCTAACATCCACAAAAAAATATCTGCAGCCAGAAAACGTTAATTTCACGTTCAACAAGCAGCGAAGTTTAAATTGAATTTGCTCCTCTGATGCATATTATGCGTCGGTGACTTACCAATTGCAACAACCAAATCATTGCTGAGATGTTAGTCACTGACGTACGAACGACGTGTATCACAAAAATTAATTAAAAAATGCACGTATCTTGGCCTGAACTGCGCTTTTTTACCAGAATAATAATGGTACAAACGGCACCTTTTCGCGTGAGCTCGTTAACCTTCTTTAGCTTTGTTGGACTTTGCTGGAAGTCCTGCTTCGTTTACGACTGAAGTGAATCAACGCGGGCGACAGCGGTAGCCCACGCTTTCTGTACTCCCCGAACTTCAGGTGGTGGTGCATCTTGATTCGTCAACTGTTGCCATTGGGTGATTGGTTCACTGCAGTACGTCTCCGGCTGGTAGTTCGTAATTGCGGAGGCCAAGGGTCTGGTCTTGTATGCCCGGAGCCAAAGTATCACGGGCGCGGTTACCTAATGCTGCGCGGCTGCTAGGCGTATGAGGAAGCCCCAAAGGGCTTTACGAGCACAATCGACTGGTGGAGAACCCAAAGCTGGTCAAAAAAAAGACACAGCCGCACTTTGCGATTGCTTTATGCGGCTAGTTGTTTCGAAAACGACTCGGTTTACATGTTCAGCAATGCATTAATCAATGCAAGGCGATAACCGGTGGGCGGGAATGTCAGGAGTACGAAGAAATGCCAGAGAGATAGGACATCTCCACGAAATTGTTGAGAATATTCGGTGTTGGAGAGACCGCTAATTACGCGGGCTGTTTCAGAGAATAAGTTTGGGCTAGAGTTTGTTGTTTTTTTGAATTAGACATTAGAAAGAATGGCGTTCAGTTTAAAATGCCGCTTGGTTTTCATCTAGGTTCACCTTTATGAGTTACCATAAAGCATAATTATGAATTTATGGACACCAGTTTTACTTGAATAATTGGAAATAAAAATCAAGTTTCGTTGAATACTTACTTAGGTAATACAAGGCAAACAAGTTACGGGTAGCAATACAGCCTTACGGCGAACAGTTCAGGGATTACTTTCGGAAAATCGGAAGTGAGACAACGTAGTGTACTCCCATAATTCCCATGTATTTGTTTTAATTATAGAAAGCACCAACTGAAACCGAGATAATTCCCCTGGTGGTTGGAAATTGTTCGTATTGATTATGTGTTCAAACACGGCACAACAATAACTGAGAAAATTTTCTCCCAATACCGCTATGTCGAGACACCGAGCCTAACTACTCTGTATCAATGCACCTATGAGTATCATGCTATAATTCCATATAAACTACTTAATACTTCTATGCTTGAATCGTCGCAGTGATAATTGGCAACTTATAATCAGTACAAGCATGGAAAAGATAGGCGATTACAGGAAGGAAATTGCGGCTGTTTTTGCTTGGCAAGAACTCTGTCTCAGGTTGTTCGGCTTCTTATACGTTCGCAATGAAGCAACTCTTTTCAAAAAGCTGTACAGTGTGAGTGTGGTGAGCTTTCTCTTAATCGGTGGGATATTTTGCGCTATCACCTACGTGCTTTCTCTTATGTGGCTCATCAAGGAAAAAATAATGATGTTTGGCACTCCCTTTTTCCTCATGCTCTTGTATTTACCATATTTCTTCACGAACATCCGTGCTCTCTTTGTCCTGGTGGATTGCTTTTGGAAACGCGCCCGTTACAGCGAGTTGCAACAACAGGCTGCTGTTCTTCTTCGACATCACTCAAGACAAAACCTTTTATTGGACAAAATGCGCCGATGGAAGCAGTTGTCTACGGTGCTCGGGGTTGCTTCGTTTTTAGCCGTGCTGATTTTTGAGGTTGTGGACTGGCTGAACTGGTTGGATCGTGATCCGCGACGCTGGAATATGGCGTATAATCAGTCATATATGCCCTTACGCATTCCAGGATGGTTGTTTATCATTATCTGGACATTTTTCAATAACTTTCCGTACATTCTCTCACAGCAGCTGTACATCAGTTTACTGTTGTATTCTCGGATATTGAAAGAAGCTCTAACTGATATTCACCGCTGTTTACCGGTACGAAACAAGAAAGCATTTGAACAGGTCACAGGACAGCGTGTCGAGGAGAAAACCTCAATTTCTTACCCGGAAGTAAAAATGTTAAAGCATCGCTATTTGGATGTATTACGCTGTTCTTCGGATCTGAATGGTGCATTTGGAAATTCGCTGTTTGTCATTTACGGATTGGACTTGCTGGCCATGTGCGGGTTTGTCGCCGCGATTGCAACCGATAAGGAACCGCAACTTTCGGCCTACTTGGTGAATTACGTCAGTGTGGTCGTATTTTCTGCGTACATCAGCTGCATGGGACTGATGGCTGGAATGCACGAAGAGGTGATGTTGAAAAGCTAACAAACGCCGCTAAATATCTCTGTTAATTCCTGTCTAATTGCATGATCCGACAAATATTCGTTCATACCGTTAAATCTAGTCCAGGCCTTATAAGGCTATATGTACACTGTAAGTCCTCTTGATTGTAATGTTTTTTGTAGTGTCAAGCGCTCGGTCTAGCATTATACGAAGCAATGGAGCAGACAGAAACTGGTTCCCAAACGGCAGTCTTTCAGGTATGGAATCTTGCCAAGTAGATTTTCTCCGTTTTTTCTGCACAAAAAAATGCGACTATTTAATGCGAACAAAAGATTTATCCTAAACATTACTGAATTCCTTGTTCCGTACGGTTTAGATGGAATCATATGTGGGCAGCTTCATTACCCTGGTTCGTGATCATCCTGTAGTATTGACGGGGGCCGATATTTTCCATGTTACGCGCAGTTTTCTTGTTGGCGTAAGTAGTAGTACGAAGTACTACGCTCTACTTACTTATGGAGCTGCCACGCACAATTAAGTAATTGCTTTGCAGACTGTAACCTTCATCATATCATCAACAATTTTGCTAAGCGAGATTTCGGAACGGACAAAGACCACCGATGAGACGGCAGGCAGCCATAATTTCAGCTGTCAAGTGGTCAATGCAACGGCTGCTTTTCAAATATTCACAAGGAATTCATCTGCGTCTAGTTCACGATTGTAAAGTTTTGATAGTGTTATTCAAAAAGCCGTGTGTCCGTTGAAATACGGATGTAGCCGCTGGTGAAAGTTAATACGGCCACGACAACTGGCAGAAACTCAGGCGAGAACTAGAGTGCTTAAAACCTTCCCACTTTTCCCGACTCTGTCATCGTAATACTCTCGAGTTTATACAACCACAAAGATTTGCCAGATCCTCATAACATGCAACGTAAAAATATGAAGTTTATCGAAAGGAGCAGAATCTTTATTTTTAACTGCATGTCAATGCTCCGGCATATACATAAAATAAATGTCAGCTATCCTACTTCTTGTCCTTTTGCTGCATTCGAAAGGGCAGTGTGACACTGTGAGTGTGAGTGTTAAGAGAAGGAAGCCTCGTTGACATTTCAGCATAGCATGTAAATTACGAAGAGCCAAGTGGCATCAGTGCAAGCTGTTCAATCGAAAGTGTAGGCTATAACAGCACAAAAGTAGACCTGATGGTTTGACGGCGTTTATGCTAATCGTCTGTCTAAATACGCGGCAAACTGTTGCAGAGTCTCCGCTGCGTCGATCACTGCAACGCGACAATGCAGTGTCCGTATTTCCGAACGGTACGACAACTAAAAATATTACGACATACTCTGTAATCATGCTTTGAAAAACAATCTCGGTAACATTTTCGTTAGAAACTCTCCTGGCCTCACGCAAAGACAACATGGCATGAAGAACGGTTACATTTAGTGCGAAATACAGTGTATCTGTTAGTACACCCCGGCGGCATAGTTTTAGCGGCTGAGCAGCCAATCTAAAATGAGAGTTTCCCAGCAACGCAGAGTCATGGAGAAACTGTACGATATAAGAAAGAAGTTGCAGCCATTTTTGATTGTTAAGAACGCCATTTTCGATTGTTTGGCTTCTTATCTGGCGCCAACGAAAAATTAAATCTATAAAAGAAGTTATAGGGTGTCAGCGTGGTCAGCTTTTTCGTAATCGGTATGTAGTTTTGCGCTATAAACTATGCGCTTCTTCTTATTTGGATCATCAAGGATGAAATCGTGACTTTTGGTACTCCCTTTTTCCCCCGCTCTCGTATTTACCATACTTGTTCGCAAATATCCGTCCTCTTTTTGTTCTCCTGGAATGCTGGTGTAAAGGCGCCGCTAAAGTTGAGCTACAACAGCAGGCCGCCGACCTTCTTCGACATTGTTCACAGCTTGACCTGTTACGAGGAAGAATACGCCTATGGAAGCATCTGTCGGTGGTGTTCGAGGTGGGTTCATTTTTAGCCGTGTTGATTTTTGAGGTTGTGGACTGGCTGAACTGGTTGGATCGTGATTCGCGACGCTAGAATATGGCGTATGATCAGTCATATATGAGTAATATGCCCTTACGCATTCCAGCATGGTTGTTTATCACTAGTTGGGCACTTTTCAACAGTTTTCAAATGTTTTCCTTGCTTTCTTTCACAGCAGCTGCACATCAGTTTACTGCTGTATAGCCGGATTTTTGAAGAAGTTTGGAGTGATATTCGTTGCTCTTTACCGGAACGGAACAAGAAATTATGCGAACGGGCTGGCATGAAAACAAAAATTTCTCATCGGGAACTCAGAATTTGGAAGCTGCTATGACTGTCTATACAATTGTACTTTTGTACCCGTGACACAGTCTTATATACGGTACGTAAACACGCCAACCTGTCTCATATACGTACACAAGCCAATGATGCTTTAAAAGGTGTTCCTGCTTAAAACATTGAGTCTTGAGACGTGCTGACACTGCTGAGTGAACAACCCATTCGTAAATGTCTTTAAAAGATCGAAACCAGCATTCGACCGTACCTCCGGAGAAGGCCACCAGTTCCCGTTGGAATTTTAGCCTGCAGGGAAAAAATGCCTCGGAGATGTTTTCGGCCTCGACTTTTGATACAATCTCGGCGCCTAACCACGCCATGGGTCAATACGAGCGATAGGGCTCCTCTTCGGGCACGAGTTGTAGTAAGTCATTATATCGCCAGATTACTTGATTGTGGAGATCTTCAGTGGCACGGTCTGGTACCGTCCGTTTTACATTGCAGCGAAGCACGGCTTCATCGCCGCGGTACACCGTCTATCCGGCAAGATTTCAGCAAATGTCTCACTAGCTCTGAGAACGGTTGGCAAGAGAAGGTAATGTTTACGCAGCGCTCGGCGTTTCGCAGTTCCTGAGCCATTCTTCCAAGCATGCTGGGCCTCGTCCCGAATTCGAAGCGAATCTCGTTGCGATACAGCAACTCCACCTCGCGAGGTGGCTTCGCGTACCGCTTCTGTAGGCATGGCCACTGCATACTGCCACCTCGTGCGGTTGAGCAACCGTACCATACCGAGATTCGCTTCGAAATCGGGACAAGGCCCTACTTCGCCGGTATCAGGCAGCGACACATTACGGATGCGGAAAACAGTCACAGGAACAACAAATGGGAAAGTGTAGCGATCAGCGTTCCTATACTTGTAGTTGGCTACCACAGGTTTTGCTTTCCGGGAAATAGCCCGATTTTGGTGTGTCCCGGTTATGTATTATGTATTTAGAATCACCTGTAGATGTTTCACAGGCGAATACCACAGTAGCACCGAGCAATGGATGTTGCTGGATCAGGGACGTAGCACCGGTTTCAGGGTTTGGCTGAAGGCTCTCCTGAGGAAAGTGTAATATAATTTTATTGAGGGTGTGACTGCCGATGCCTTGCTGAACAATATCATACGCTGCAAAGGAGATGAAAAGTTCATGCAAACGTGAATTTAATTTACCGGAGGACAATGCTTTACTCTGAGTGTCTTCCATCATTTCAGCCCCTTTGTTTTATCGAAGTGGTTGTTTTGCCGCAGTAAGGTCGGCGAAGTACGTACTAAAGTAGCTTGTGAATATCTAGCCGCACATTGCGCCGTAATAGCTTTGCGCTGTTATCGTTACTGTGCCGCAGCTGTATGATCTTTTGCGCGTCTGATCACTTCGGCCGCGTTACATTTTGGCCGCACAGGTTCAATTCGGCGAACGTTCATTTCGGCCGTGGCTCACTTCGGCCAACACTCAATTCGGCCAATGCTCATTTCGACAACTGGACGTTTCAGCCATCTTAGCTTTTCTTGGGTTTCCTACATTTTCTAGGTTTTCTTTGGTTTTTTATGTTTTCTTAGGGTTTTAAGGTTTCTTAGGTTTTCTTAGGTTTTTTTAGGTTTTGTAGGTTTTCTTAGGTTTCTTAGATTTTCTTAGGTTTGTTCAGTTTTCTTAGGTTTCTTAGGTTTTCTGTGGTTTTCTTAGATTTGTTATGGGTTTTAGGCTTCTTAGGTTTCTTAGGTTTCCTTAGTTTTCTTAGGTTTCTTAGGATTTCTTAGCTTTGTTATGGTTTCTTTTCTTTTTTTTCGATTTTCTTATGTTTTCATAGGTACATATTCTTAGTCTAAAGCTAGATCCAGAATGGATCCAGAGACAGAGACAGAAACGGGATCTATCCTGTGGAGTGAGCGATACGATCTGGATCGCGAGCTATGCGGAAACACAAAACGTCGCACCGTAATCGCTGACTTTTAATAATATTGAAAGTCTGGAGACCAGAAATCAACAAGTGATCGGCGCAGCTCGATCGTAAAACGTAGAGCCAATTCCACAGTGTGCATCACTGTGCAGCACGTGCTATGCCGCGCCCACTAGCCAATCAGAGCGAGACACAACACAGACACGAAATCCTAAGGCGTAGCGCCTAGCGCCACGGGCGTGAACGCTAGTGAGCCTCGTCTCACATGCCTCTGGGGGGATGCCGAGCTCCGTTGAGGCTGGACACACTCCCGAATCCACGAAAAGACGGTCGCTGGTGTCTGTGTGTGCTCAAAAACATCAAATTCTCTTATTCCATTTATCACATCAATTCCAAATACACAATGTGAATTAAAGAGATCTGTATCAAAATAATATTCCATATCAATTCTAATACAAAACAGATCAACAGTTAACAGATCAACAAAAGTTTAAATCAAAATGTAGACTAGGATCCTCCATTTCTGACTCGTAAAGGTCACAGGTCCTGTCCACCGTTTTCCGCACTTTGGTCCATTCCGCTCTGTTGAGCAACTTCGCGCATCCGTAGTGCGACTTCATCACAATCCGCTTGAGAATCAGGTGCGTATCAAGTACGACTTAGGAATACTGCTTCAACCTTTGGAATACGGTGCGTATCAATTGTACGACTTCAAAATGAGATCCAATAAAGGTCATGGAGGGACGTCATGTAGACAAGCGTAGTTCGCTTCCTCCCTGGTAAAGGTCATCCTCTGTTGAGATGATCCGTTGAGATGTGCGACTCGTTATGGGTTAATGGTCCCAAAAGGTCATGCGACTTGAATTCTAACATGGTGACTCTCTTGGGCGGTAATGTTCCCAAAGGTCATCCAACTTCTCTTCAACATCCATTAAAGGTCATGGAGGAACTTAGCCAATTTTTGACGGTTTTCAAGCACTTCTTCGCTTGCCTCCCTGGTAGAACTTTCTGGTTGACCTTTCCATCGCACATCCGACTTCAACATGCCTCGAGCGGCCAGAGTGCCGGCAGAGTTTACCGTAGCATCTCTGATGGGGCCGGCTAACTACCGCATTAAATTTACCCCGTGACGCTTCCACATTAGATCTTTTACTCTTGTTCGCCGGTTGTGGCCCAGCTTCGGTACGAGAGATCCGGCTTGATTACCGCTATTCCTCTCGTTGACTTATAACACTGATTCGCTTGGAGAGATTGCCGGCATAGTTTACCGTAGCAACTCTAATGAGGCCGGCTGACTGCCGCATCGAGTTTACCTCATTAATATTTCCACCTGTTGTCTTTCTCTTTTTCGCCGCTTGTGGCCCGCTTTCGTCCTCAAGAGATCCGGCTTGATTACCGTAGTTTCTCTTGCAAATTTATAACACTGAATCGCTTAAGGAGGAGAGCCGGCTAATTGCCGTAACAACTCCCTTGGGGCCGGCTTTATAGACCGAATCAATTTCAACCCCAAA